GTTGAGAGGCTAGCCAACTAATTGTGTGTCTGAAGGACGTTCTTGGTGTCATCCTCCATAACTGCTGAGAGGGATAAAACTCCCTTCATTGACTTGCTGACGTGACAAATATCAAAATATTAATTTGGCATTTGGCTAACAGTGGAAACTTTTGCCGTGAGTATATTTGGTTTAAGTTCAACTTCACTTCATCACATGGCTAGGATGTCAGTAACTCATTGTTATGGTATGAAATCAGTTTATAGTTATGTATATTGTCATGCTTTAAATGCCGACAGTGTTTCGGGTAAGCATGATGTTACCTAATAATGTCATTGAGCTTCAATGATGTTACTTGTTGTACATAAAGTTACGATGCTTCAATGATGTTACTTGGCCACACCAGCATGCTTCAATGATGTTACTTGGTCCACACTATCATGCTTCAGTGATGTTACTTGGCCCACACTACTATGCTTCAATGATGTTACTTGGCCCACACTATTATGTTTAAATTATGTCACTTTGCCCACTCTACCATGCTTCAAATATGTTACTTAGCCCACACCACCATCCTTCAGTGGTGTTACTTGACCCACACTACCATCCTTCAATGATGTTACTTGGCCACACCACCATGCTTCACTGATGTTACTTGGCTCAGACTAACATCCTTCAATGATGTTACTTTGCCCACACTACCATACTTCAATGATGTTACTTGGCCCACACTACCATCCTTCAATGATGTTACATGGCTCAGACTACCATCCTTTAATGATGTTACTTGGCCACACCACCATGCTTCAATTATGTTTCTTGACCCATACTACCATATATACTTCACTGATGTTACTTGGCCCACACTTCCATCCTTAAATGATTTTACCTGGCCACACCACCATCCCTCAATGATGCTACTTGGGCACACCACCATCCTTCAATGATGTTACTTGGCCATCACTTCCATCCTTCAATGATGTTACTTGGCCCACACTACCATACTTCAATGATGTCACTTGGCTTCCTTCACCATACTTCAATGATGTTACTTGGCCCACACTATCATGCTTCAATAATGTTACTTGGCCCACGCTACCAAAGTTCAATAATGTTACTTGGCCCACACTATCATACTTCAATGATGTTACTTGGCCCACGCTACCAAAGTTCAATTATGTTACTTGGCCCACACTATCATGCTTCAATGATGTTACTTGGTCACACTACCATACTTCAATGATGTCACTTGGCTTCCACTACCATACTTCAATGATGTCACTTGGCTTCCACTACCATATTTCAATGATGTTACTTGGCCCACACTATCATGCTTCAATGATGTTACTTGGCCCACGCTACCAAAGTTCAATAATGTTACTTGGCCCACACTACCATACTTCAATGATGTTACTTGGCCCACACTACCATACTTCAATGATGTTACTTGGCCCACACTACCATACTTCAATGATGTTACTTTGCCCACACTACAATACTTCATTGATGTCACTTGGCTTCCACTACCATACTTCAATGATGTTACTTGGCCCACACTATCATGCTTCAATGATGTTACTTGGCCCACACTACCAAAGTTCAATAATGTTACTTGGCCCACAGTATCATACTTCAATGATGTTATTTGGCCCATGCTACCAAAGTTCAATAATGTTACTTGGCCCACACTATCATGCTTCAATGATGTTACTTGGCCCACACTACCATACTTCAATGATGTCACTTGGCTTCCACTACCATACTTCAATAATGTTACTTGGCCCACACTATCATGCTTCAATGATGTTACTTGGCCCACACGATCATACTTCAATGATGTTACTTGGCCCACACTATCATGCTTCAATAATGATACTTTGCCCACACTACCAGTCAGTCTGGGAGGGAAGGAGGTCACAGTGATTAATCATTTATTTTATTACACCATTTTGAACAGTTTATCAGTTAAAATCACAGTTTGCAGATTGACATTAATTTGTCTCAGACATTTACCATATTGGTGACACCAACAACAAGTATATGGTGGTCAAACCCAATATCATAGGATTCTTGAATGCCCAACCTTGGATGACTAGCTCACTGCTTTTGTATCCAGGTTCACGTTCCACAAAACAAAAGTCTATGTGGAATTATGGGAGTTCTGCTTGTCTTAGGGCTAAGATCACTTTGTTGAAACAGGCCCAGGTGTCTCAATAGGGGATGTACATCACTAATACATCATGATCTTGGATTAACAGGAGAAGATTTAGAAGTTGGATGTTAACATGACAAAGAGTATTATTAGCAACATCCACTTTATTACACAAACACAACATTTCAACATTTCGGAATAACGTGTTAAGGAACGTGATCATGACCAGATCCGTGGTCAGTGCTGATGTGTGTTGAGAGAAGGTATTGACCCACCACACAATCCCCAGTGCAGCCATGTCTGTCACGCTATGTGATTTGGCCGTTATCGGTCACTCGGGCCACCTTCAGCAACGCCAGCCGTAACTTAATACTATCTCTGCTGAGACCACGAAAAGTTACGAGCACCCTGGGAGAAGGTTCTTGTAATAAACCCCCCATACTTCCCATTTCTCAAGCTTATCATAAATAAGCTGTAATTCTGTTGCATTATGGGCCAATCATATGGCTGTCCCTATCATTGATTAATCATTTCATTTCGGTGGTGGCCATAATGTCAATTATACCATGGCCTCTAGTTGCAGTAATTTGAATGTCAGATTAGGTTTCCTCCAGTGGCTTGCGAAGAAAGACGGCCATAGTTATGTCAGACATGGAATTTATGTCTTTCCTATCTCAACTATTTAGCTCTGAAATGTGTAAAATGATGATTCAAAAGATTAATGCCTGATTTACTGCTCTGCCTTTATTTGGGTCACAGTTTATTAGGAAGGAATTGTTCCATGGAGTGCCTCATGACTTTTTGAAGGCATCTTGCTTTTACCTTAATGTTATCCTTGAGTGAGTGAGTGAGTGAGTGAGTGCTGCATGACATTTTGAAGTCATCTTGCATTTACCTTAATGTTATTCTTGAGTGAGTGAGTGAGTGAGTGAGTGCTGCATGACTTTTTGAAGTCATTTTGCATTTATGTTAATGTTATCCTTGAATGAGTGAGTGCTGCATGACTTTTTGAAGTCATCTTGCATTTACGTTAATGTTATCCTTGAGTGAGTGAGTGTGTGCTGCATGACTTTTTGAAGTCATCTTGCATTTATGTTAATGTTATCCTTGAGTGAGTGAATGAGTGCTGCATACTTTTTGAAGTCATCTCGCATTTACCTTAATGTTATCCTTGAGTGATAGAGAGAGTGAGTGAGTGAGTGCTGCATACCTTTTGAAGTCATCTCGCATTTACCTTAATGTTAAGAGAAAGAAATGCATGCAGCATAGACAAAACAAAGTCATGACATCTAAAATTGAACATTCTCTCATTACCTGCCCCGGTGGCTCAGTGGGAAAAGAGTGGGTTTCAGAAACTTAACACGCTCTGTGAGGTTGCAGGTTCGAGTCTCGTCATCTATAATGAAAAAGTTTCATTTCTTGTCTTCGATTTTAGAACATTGGACGTTTAAAACACTAAGTCCAAATTCCATCTGCTACTCAAATCATCAGGTCTTTCAAGCAAAAAGTAAAACCTAAAACCAGGTCTTACTAGGAAAAAGTAAAACCTCATACCAGGGAAGAGGTCTTACTAGGAAAAAGTAAAACGTCCCAAGAGTTATTACGAGATAGAAAGAAACCTACAATACAATAGGCAAAAGTGGCAGTAGGTTTATAAGTTCATGGAAAATTTAAGTGGGAGTGAGTTTGTGTGACCAAAATTCCAACGTACCATATCATGGCAATAGATGCCAAGTATTTGCTTAAGGTTTTGTACCCATTTGGGAAAATATTGTCTGTGTAAACGGCAAACACTTTCGCCACTAGACTACTCAACTCCCAGGGGAAAGTTTAAGAAAAGCCGTTATTTTTAGAGGAATTATGTAACAAACTGTCGCCTAGAATTGAATAGTAATTTGGATTAGTAATCAGATACGGTCCTTGTTATCTTTAAGGTGTTGAATTACTGAGATGCTATAGTCGCAATGACTTTCTGTCATTCCAATTGGATGGTGTGCTGTTTGCATAAATGTCTAACATCCTCCCTGAAACCATTTGATTGCTGGAACTGAAAGTGTTTGGAGGATGCTTCGGAGTCTTCAAAGCAGAAAATCCCAGGTTCAACAAGACTGCCGCTCAACTGACTCAACCTTTAAAAAGCTCAAGACTTCTTTGATGATCAAACTGTTCAATTGATTGTGAACTTTCTGGATAATATGACTGTTATGTGTCGAGTACTTAAATTGATTAAAGTATCTTGTTTGCAAATCCAATAATACCACCAGTGGCTTTCTTGATACATAGCAAAATGGCTCAAATAGAGTTATACCATGCACCTTTTCTTTGACAAGATGATCTTAGTATGTGGCAAAAGAGGAAAAAACCTTATCTAATTTATGGTTTTTGCTCATTTTTTTTCTTCAGAAAGACATGTGTTTTTCTTTACCTTCTCATTACATGACATTGTGAAGGTCGAGAAGACAGCTTGGCTGTTTGCTTTCTCTGTACAGTGAACGTCTGTATCATGTTTATGGTGAGCTCTAATGGACGGTTTAGTTACCCCAGTGACGAGTTTAGGGTTGTGGATGCAGCTCCCTCTCTTCATCTTACCTTATCGTTGACAAAGTTTGTTTCCTGGACGGAAGTCATGCACATGTTTGTGTGTGTGTGGCTGCTTGCACTAGTGGAGACTAATTACAGTTTTATAGAGCTAGCTCATGAAGATACCATGCTACAGTTTGACATGGATACCCTACTGAGACACTGTATACTGACTCTGAGCCAACCAGGCCTTGTTTTATCACTTTAAATGCTGAACACCAGGCAGGGTAACAACAAGTTACACAGTGATTGAGCAAATATCCTAATGAACTGTTTTTTTATGTTTCAGAGGTGGAAGCCACTGTTTGACCAGGTGAGTAGATCACTTCTTTTCCTTGTAGCTCACCTTATGAATAAATTAATCTTTTCCTTTTAGCTCACCTGCCCTTTTAGAGTCAGTTATGTCTACATTACAGTACATTGTGTCATGTTAATGTATAGGTTATTCTGATGTTGGTAGCTTTGCTTCATTCACTTTCAGTGTTGTTTACAATAAGTCACAGTCTCACATTCCGATCTTAGCGCTACGACTATCGTAAGCCAATGTTAAAGTATGGGAGTTACGATCACCTTAGCGCTAAGATGGCTTTGTGGAATAGGGCCCTGATGTATGGCAGAGCATTCATGTCAAACTCAATCATCTTTTTGTTCTGATATTTTTATGAAAGTCACTGGAAACCCTGACTTTGACATTAAGGGATTCAAATCCCAAAGATGAACATGATGCCTTTACCATTTATTGAAGCGAGATTTATCTGAATTGTCAGTGTTATTATGATTTAGTTTTGCTGAAATGTAAGCCGTGGTGGGGGAGTAGGGAACAGAGTTCGTCCATCCGATATTTGTTATTAGATATTTAGATATATTTATGAGTTTCATAGTTTCAAAACATGCCCTGTCTGTTTTTGAATAAAATCAAGATTGATTGTCTTGTACCTTGTGGACTCCCAGCTGAACACCCATTCTGGTACGCGAGAGATTTGGAGGTCTATTTTTAGTTGGTAGTCAGGACTATTCAGCAGTGAAGTATGTGGGATGCAAATATTATTATATTTGGTTCACGAATTCTACATTTAAAAAACATATACCGTATTCGACGTAATAAACGCCCAGGGGGCTCTCAACATTAGAAATAGGGGGCTCTTATTAGAATATAATTTTGGTGAGATTAAAAACGATTGTAAATTTTGTGGTTTATGCCGACAGCCTGATATGATATGAAAGAAGAATATGTGTGTATTATACACGATAGATATATTTTCGAGAATTAAATTGCCGATAATTAAGGGTGCATATATATAACAAACGAGTGCGTATTATACACAAATAAATAAGTCTTGTGTACATTGATCAATCGGAAAGGGTGCTAACTTGGATTGTTCACTAACCATTATATTAGCAAATAACGCAGTGGGCGCTTATTAGAGCGGGGCGCTTATTATGTCGAATGCGGTATAATGGTTTATGTATATATTTCATTTTTTAAATATTTTTGCAGTAATTTTAAATCTCCTTTTCTCAACCCTTTAAAGATTTGTATAAGTAGTACCAGGGTATTTGGGATTCAAGAGAGAGCAGTGAGAAAAGTGAGATGATAAGCAGGATTCAGGGAAGGGGCGGTTGGCTTACTCACTACACACATGTACAGTCAAGTCCCGTTAATCCCACATGGTTGGTTACATATGATAATGTCGGATTAACAAGTTTGTCGGATAAACAAAATTAAATAGTACCAACGTTCGTCAGTCATAGTTCACAAAAGGGTCTTCTGACGTGACCTGTAATGGGATGTCCTCGGCGATAGTGAGAACTTGCATCTGATTTTAACGGGTTTGTCGGATAAACGAAATTAAGTAGTACCAACGTTCGTCGGTCATAGTTCGCGAAAGGTTCTTCTGACATGACCTGTAATGGGATGTCCTCGGCGATAGTGAGAACTTGCATCTGATTTTAACGAGTTTGTTGGATAAACAAAATTAAGTAGTACCAACGTTCGTTGGTCATAGTTCGCGAAAGGTTCTTCTGACATGACCTGTAATGGGATGTCCTCGGCGATAGTGAGAACTTGCATCTGATTTTAACAAGTTTGTCGGATAAACGAAATTAAGTAGTACCAACGTTCGTCGGTCATAGTTCGCGAAAGGTTCTTCTGACATGACCTGTAATGGGATGTCCTCGGCGATAGTGAGAACTTGCATCTGATTTTAACGAGTTTGTCGGATAAACGAAATTAAGTAGTACCAACGTTCGTCGGTCATAGTTCGCGAAAGGTTCTTCTGACATGACCTGTAATGGGATGTCCTCGGCGATAGTGAGAACTTGCATCTGATTTTAACGAGTTTGTCGGATAAACGAAATTAAGTAGTACCAACGTTCGTCGGTCATAGTTCGCGAAAGGTTCTTCTGACATGACCTGTAATGGGATGTCCTCGGCGATAGTGAGAACTTGCATCTGATTTTCATGAGATTGAGCTAATCTAAGCATATGATAAATACTGTATGCTTTATTTAAAGCATTAATAGTTTATTGTTAAGCAAAGTTTATCTCTGCAGCTTTGTAATATGCAGCTACCAGCTGACTCGTCTCGAATCAAAACACTATCTGTGTACTCGTGGGCAGATGACGACAGAGTACCTACGCTAATCACTGTGTCAGATTAACGAGACTGATTAATGAGTGATTTCCATAATTCGTTGCAAATAAGGTGTGTTGGAGTCAAAGTGAGAGACTGTCGGATTAACAGGTCTAAATAGCACTGATTTAATCAGTTCCCATCATTAGTGTCGTATAAAGCCAATTGTCGGATTAACGAGACTTGGCTGTATGTTGTAGAACAGTTGTGGTCGTGATCACCTATAGCATCTCTGTGAGAGATAAACAGTTAAGAGGCACTACACAAATTGCAGTGTCCAACAAGCGATCTTAGTGCCATGACTGTTTTAAGACTGTGTTAAAGTAAGGAAGTTACGGCCACCTTGGCACTAAGATCGCTCTGTAAAATGGTGCCCTGATTTGCAATATGAATCAGGTCATTCCAGCAACATTTTTTTATTATCAATATAAAACTAGTGAAATAAGATTGACCTAATTATTCAGAGACCAGTGGACTCTAGCAGCTCTTAGACGTCTTTGTGGTCAGAGTTCCCTTTCTCTACGCAACAAACACAGCCTTCATAATTCACACTTGTCCGCAAGTCTGAGACTACTAAACTAGGTGGAGGACAATTAAACATCCATAGATGGTAGTCCTCAATGACATTTGAGGGCTATAAGTTTTTCCAGCTCTCAACTCTTTGATTTTACTACTCATCAGTCAAGCAGGACTAGCTACAAATTCCAAAGACTAATGAAATAATGTTTGCACAGTTCTCCTATCTAGCTTTCCGAATCAAATGTTTCTAAGGCTGCAGAAACATGTTATGGACAATATGGAATTGAAAGCTATATGTGATGTGGGGATCAGCTTCAGACTTTTCACAGATGAAAAAAGGTCTGTTGGGCATTCTGAATGGGTGACAATACTGGTTGAGGGCAAAATAGGAATGATCTGGAAACTTTTGTGTTTGTTAACACAGAGAGGTTTGACAATGGATCAGTTCAGGTTTAGATTGCCTCATTTTGTGTGATTCCCCATAGATTGGTCTCTGTCCAATGTTAGGTAATGAGGTGAAGTCCTTCGTTCCATTGTTAAATGTTTTGTCTTTACTGTTGGTCCCAATGGACATCAATGCCAGACCTCACTGTGCAGGAATAGTCAATGAAATCATGCAAAGTCGGCCCATCTGCAGAACTGCTTGTCAACATACTTTCAGAGCCTATCAGACATGCTAAGGCCCTTCTAAAACACCTCAATGTATTTGTTGTCTTACCACCAAAGCAGGAGCCTGCTAATGCCAGGTTGAGGAATAGTGCCAAATATCTTTCACAGTGGTCGGATGTTTAGGCTTTTTTTTAAGTCCATTGAGATGATATGCATGCATGTGGTGCTGCCCATAGCATATAGGCATATACCATATATAGTATATAGGTAATATCAGGCTGGAGTCAATTTGCTGAAGAGATGATTTTAATTACCTTTCCTTTGCATGTGTTTGCGATGGGTGCCATCACAGGAGCAGGATATGCTCACCTTTTTTCAAACACAAGGTATCATCACCATTTGATGGTGATTCATAAATAGATGCTTCTGAAATAGTCAGAATCAAACAATGGTTTTAGCAGAGGTTTCTGATGATTATGGAAAGGGTTGCTTTTTCTTAATTCAGGCTGGCAGTTGATAACCACACTTATTACACTCTACAAGCTTGGCTCCTGAGAGTTCTAGGACTTCCAAACTGCAGGCCTCAAACTCAGCATGTTTTGCCCCTGAGAGTTCTAGGGCTTCCAAACTGCAGGCCCCACTCAAAAGTACAGTTTATGAAATGTGGTGACTCATTAAGCATGTGACTTTGTTCGAAATTTAGCCCCAGGTCACCCAGCAATGGATGGGTACCTGGTAGGATGTGATGGAAATAAGAAATGCAGAACATTTCAGAGCCTAATGGGCTGCTTGGGTTTTAGGCTGAGTCAGGAGTTGAGAATGCAAGGTAATAACGTTGTGCCCTGTACAGGCTGCAGTTGGACATCACATACATTGTGGACCCCCTCCGTGGTCTCACTAAGTGTTAGAGCATCCGCCCGGAGAGCGGAAGGTCCGGGGTTCGATCCCTGACCGCGTCAAAAGACGTTAAAAGATGATACTTGTTGTTACCCTGTCTAGCGCTCGGCATTAAGGGGCTAAAAAAAGGACTGGTCGGCTCGGAGTCAGTATACTGTGTCTGAGTGGGGTATTCATGTTAAACTGCGGCATGGTATCTCAGTGAGCTAGCACTATAAATCGGCATCATCTGGACTAGTACAAGCAGCAACACAAACACACACACGTGCATGCACGTCGCCTCATAAGTGCAACAATCTTGTAGGCGACGTAAAACCCCATTTCACTTCACCTATGTACCTTTAATAATGGTTTTGGTGAATGTGTTTCTCTCCATGCATATTTCAGTTATTTGGACCACAGTAGTAAAATTTTGAACCAGAGAATACTTGGCCCAGTTTAATGAAAGAACCAGTTTCTGTACTATGAATGCCTTTCCATCTGGGGTAGAACAGGTCTTCAGCAACCCACGCTTGCTGTAAAAGCGACTATGCTTGTCGTAAGAGGCGATTAACATGATTGGGTGGTCAAGCTCACCAACTCGGTTGATGTGTGTCATCGTATCCCAATTGCTTGGATCAGTGCTCATGATGTCAATCACTGGATTGTCTGGTTC